GGGGCCCGCGGCCGCCTGGCTTCCGACGGGCGGTCCTCTGCTGACGACCTTCCAGGGGTGCTTGTCTTCTGAGGAAACACGAAGAAGAGACGGGTGAGGAGGGCCCAGGCACATCCTCCTTGCACCTGTGGCCCCTGCCTGGCCTTGGGGTGCGCCCAGATAAGCTCACGGGCGCCGAGGGGGCTCTTCGCACCGCGCCGGGAGTAGCGAATTCCCCCCTTCTCCCCGCCCTGCACAGCCACAGGGCACACCGCGGTGGGGATCCTGCTGGGACAGAGACCCTGACACTGCAGCTTCCGCTTCCTCGCCATTGAACCTCAGGGGCGTGAGGGTCAGACAAGAGGCCGAGCATCCAGGAGTCAACAGTTGATGCTCGCACATGACGGCACCTGAGTGAACGGGGCAGCCTGGGAGCAGGTCTGGGGCTGGTGGAAGTCCAGATCCCCTGCTAACCTGGCCTAGAGGGTGTCCAGCAGCCCTGTGCTGGTCACTGCTGTGCGTCACCACCAGGCGAGGGGCCTTGGCACAGAGGCCAGAGGACCCTGGGAGGAGGCCAGGCCCGGGCAGGGAGACGCACGAACAAAGGCCCCAGGGTGACCCTGGGGTTGAAGAAGGGTTGGTCAGTCAGAGGGGAGAGCAGAGATCTGTGGGCCTGGGGGCAGCCCAAGGGGCTCTGAGCCCGGACTGGCCCCCTGTGGGAGAGAGACATGGCACTCAGGAGCGTGGCCCACACCTCCTCCTCCCATCCGGTCACTGGAGAGCTTAGGGAAGCCTGCACCGAGCAGCCCAGAGAGCAGCTAGTACAGCATCACCACAACTGTGAGCAGGGCTGCAGGGGAGGACCTGGACGCAACTCAGGCTGTCCCACCTGAAATCACCCCACTCTGACCATGGACACCAGCCACAGAGCATCACAGGAGCCAGCAGTTCTCACACTCACTCTCACGGACTCATACTCAAGCAGCTAGGCCTCCTGGCCCACATGAGGGGTGTGCACTGGAGGGAGGGGGGAGCCCCAGACCCACACCGTCCAGGCACAGAGGTCCCCCTACACCCACCGCTGACTGCGTGTGCTCCGCATACACTGCCTGACACCGTCCTGTTCCCGCCCTTTGGCGACTGCAGGACCCCATCTGAAAGGAGGCCCTTTCAGCTCGGCCCTGCCAGGCACCTTCCAGAAAGGGTACAGCAGCCCCAGACCCCACCCACTTTGCTGCCCAGAGGAGAGAGGGGCCTGGCCAGGCCCGGACGGCAGGCCAGCGGAGGGGGAGGACGGCTGCGGGCCCCCTGCCGCAGCGCAGCCAGGCTGTACAGGCGGCCTCCCATGCCCCTCCGCCCAGCAGACTGGCGCCCCCGGCTCAGCGTCAAAGGCCACAGCAGCCCAGGAAGACCTGCTGGGGCTTTTCAACACTTACTGTTGGTCTCAAAAGGGAACAAGCAGCCAGTTGAGCTCACATTCTCGGCAGAACACTGAAGGTGAAAAGAAGGGAGTTTCAGTACCGTGGACTCACGCGTGCTGATTCAGAAACGGTTCAGGCAGGTGTTTTTCTCACCACAATCAACTGCACTTTCCCAGCACTGTGTTTCGTGATGAGTAAAAAGAACAGCATGGACCCTGGAATACGTCTTTCTCTTAATCAAGATTCTTAGAAGCATCACGATGTTCACTGAGTAAAGGCCATAAAAAGGTCCCCAGCATACGCACTGGCGCCAGGACCGTCCCGCTCTTCGGGAAGCCCTCCCCCCGTGGTGCCCACACGGCCGACCCCTCCCTCTGGCGAGTGGCCAGCTGCAGGGCGCAGCGGCCCATGGGGCCCCGCCCGAGCCCACGCAGCTCTCTTCTCGGCCATAATCTGCCCATCAGACGAAGGGGCTGCGTGCAGCTGCAGGCCACTCAACGCCTGTCTGTCTGTCTGCTTTCTCGCGCTCTCCTGACCTCGTGTGCGGTCACGGCTGCTCACCTTTTCCTGCCCCTCAAGTCCTCTCCATCACAACACGACTCAGTCATGGAGTCTAGCTTCTCAGGGACAGTTTCATCGGATTTCCAAAGTCACGATAAAAAAAGGAAATCCTTTGTTGCTTCTCATAAAGTAAGTTAAAAGCTAGGTCATCACCCAGAAAAAAGAGGCCTGCCAACAGTCAGGCTGGGCAGAGCAGGGACCTTGTCGCACAGGATGTCAAGAGCCTGGCACCAGCGTGGGCACCTGGTGACCATGAGGTTCTCCACCAGAGAGCCCCAGTCAGATGGAGCTGATGAAAAAGCAGCTCTGTCAAGGAACAGAAAGCCTGCAGTGAACACGGAGCCCACAACGCCATGGAAATCCACACCCTTGTTGCTGCAAACCCGCCTGGCCCTGGGGATCTCAGCCCTCCCCTGGGCCACCCTCCCAACACGAGCACCAGGGACCATGTTCTCATGTACACCGTAGCCCACCCCCCTCAGGCTGCGTCCCCAGCAGGTAGCAGCGTCCTACCAAAGTGGGGACACACACCTAGCAGGCGCCCACTGGGCCAGCTCAAATGGCGCCACACAGGAGCCCAGGTTCCAACATAGAGCTACACAGGCAAGGGCCATGTAGGACAGCCCAGGACCCCTGGTTTTGGACGGAGCCACAATGAGAGCAGAGGAGGGCTGGCCCTGGCCTCCGTGGGAGGATGGCCGCTGGGCTGTGTGCTGGCGACTCCCAGGACCAGTCTACAAGACACCTCGTGCGAAGGAGCCCCGACAGACGAGGTGGCCTCTGCACACTCGCTGGAGACATGCAGGGGCTGAGGCCACAGGTTCACGCTGAGGCAGGCCTGGCCCACCACACTCACAGAGGCTCCACCTCGGTCTACGTGCAGGGCACAGCCAAGCGGAAGGGCTGAGGCTGGTCAAACCAGGCCTTGACCAGCTTGTGACCAGGGCAGGTCAGCTCCTCTCTGTGAGCCTGGAATCCCCCACCCAGGACAGGAGTGACCATGGAACACACATGGCAGGGTTGCTGCTAGGGTTACATAAGAACACAGGAACCCTCCATGCTCAGTGATGGAGAAAAGACGTTTCTGAAAAGGGTGTGGGGCCGACCACACATCCACACAAAAAGACGAGGAAAGTCCGACCCTGACCTGCTTCATCCCACACGTGAACTTCCGTTCAGAGAGTGTGGGCTTCAAGCTAAGGGCAAAACGGCAGCACTTCCTGAAGAAAGCATAGGAGAGTATCTTCCAGACTCAGGTCAGCAAAGACGTCTTAAGTGGGACACAAAAAACACTCACGTGGACACATTCGTCTACGCTAAAATTTAGAATTTCTTTTCATCAAAAGACACCATTAAGAGAAGGACAAGGCAAACCACAGGATAGGAGGAAAGATCTGCAGAACACACATCCGAAGAAAGACTCACAGCCAGGATATACAGACCATAAGAAGTGCACACCACCCACAGGAAAAGGAGCAAAAGGACACCAAAAACGACACACTACCGTCCGTAAGCCCAGGAAATGGTGCCGACCTCACTGGTCAAGGCCGTGAGGTCAGAGCCACAAGGAGACACCACACCTGACCGGGAGAAAGTACAGGCTGAGGTGCTGCTGGCGGACACGCTGGGCAGACCTTCCCCACAAGTGGAAGCAGACGTCCCAAAACAGCTGGCACGTAAACGCCATCAGCGGCACTGTTCTTAACAGCCAGTCGTGGACACAGCCCAAGCGTCTGTCCAGCAAACAGGGCAAAGGAACAACCACCGAAGCACCAGCCACATGGCAGATTCCAGAAGCGTTCGCGTCGAGTGGAGAAGCCAGACTCCAAGAGCAGGTGCTGTGCCACAGCACTTCTGTAACGTTCCAGGACCCGCCAAGCCACCTGGGGCCACGGGGCCTTCCCGGGGCAACGGAGACGTGTGGTGTGGCAGGGACCAAGTTACTGTGTACCCAGCTGGCAAAAGTCACCCACTCAATACCAAACACAATCTGCACACATCACTGTATGCAAATTATACCTCACTGGAAAAATCTCCCTTAAACGTAAGAGTTTTGAAAGCTGAGCTTTGCACCAACCCCAAGTCTGGACCCGTGCACACGGACACGCCGGAGGCACACACCGCACGTGACCCTCCCTGACCTCGCCCCTGCCCCCTCACCCCTCCACCCCGCACCCTTTGGAGGCCGCACGGCGGCCGCTGGCCCCGGCCCCGCTCCCCACCCTGCAGCAAAGTTGGCTGCTATCCTGACCCGGATTGTGGCTTCTGCTTTGGCCCCGCCCTCACTGAGAATGGACGCCAAGCACCTGTCCCCACAGGGCCCCTGGCACAGGCACCCTGTGAGGCCCTTCCCCAAGCTCCATCCGGCTCACCACCCACCGCTTCGGTGCCACCAAAATCCAGCCCTGCGTCACTTCTCAACACCCTCTACCCACTCTGCTTCTCCCAGCATGCCACAGTGACCCCCCAGGCACCCTGCTCACCGTCCGCCTCCCCTCAACACCCCCAGCATCCAGAACAGCCCCATCCCTGCTCTCGGGGAGCCTCGAGCCCAAAATCAAACAGGTGAGAGAGGTGACGGGGAGTCCTTGCTCAAAGACACAATCGTTTGTGTATTTCACTGTGTAGGTGATTCCTGGTCTTCAAGAAGTGAATGTCAGGAAGAGCAGGTGCTACCAGCAAAGGCTGTGCACCCACGCGCGGTGCCGAGACCACGCGGGCCCGCCGGCGAGCCTCCCCAGGAGTTCGGTGAACACCCACATAACACGTGGGGCTTGTCTCCCAACACGTGCGTCCCGACAGAGACGCATGGGGCTTTCACCAGAGTAAAATCCTCTCCATCACCATGGGCAGAATTATAGGTCAGAGTTTTCTCGTCATGGTCTCTTTACAAAAAGAACTGCCTGTGGCCCCCTTCCTCGTGGACCATGGGTGACACACAGGCCAAGCTCTGGGCGCAGGCGCCTGGGGCCAGGCCCCCAGCATCAGGCAGGCGCAGAGACTCCGCTGCCTTCCTCTGGGCCTATGATCCAACCAGATGGGGCTGGTGGCCTGAAGGTCACAGTAACATGACCCTAGAAAATGGCTCCCTGGCGTCCCCCATGTCCTTCCACCTGGCCGAAGCCCGGCTTGGGCAGTGTCCCCCAACCCCGGGGTGGGCAGCTTACCGGGCCAGCATCGTAGCTCTTGTGGGTGAGGTCGTCCAGGCTCTGGTTCTGCAGCTTCTCAGTGATGAGGGTGACCATGGTCCAGGGCCTGTGTTCTCTGTCCACACCAGCAGGCCCTAGGGTTCTGCAACATCGGGCTTCAGGAGGCCCAGGCTGTTGCGAGGTCCGAGCCAACCCGCCAGGCTGCGTTTGTTTTAAAAATCAGTGATCCATTCCCAAGGGCTCCTCAGAGCTTCATGTCTGGTTTTTGCTAAAGGGAAATTGTCACACGTGACTACGCGCAAAACCACCCGGCCAAGGCTACACTCACCTGCCGGCTCCACGCGTGCAAGTGTTCCTGGTCTTCCTACCTGACAAAGGCTCTCCCGCTTTAAAACTGCCACTAGAGTCCTCTCCTGGAAAATGGAACGAAAGCAGGGGTCTGGCTGATAGGCGCAGGTGAGAACCAACACGGGAGGTCTTCCCGACCCCTGCTCCAAACAGCGGGGAGGAGGCCCTGTGATACCTCGGAAGCTAGAAAGCCACTGGGAAGCGGACCTTCAGCCAGCAGTGGGGACGCCCCAGGGACCACCTGGACCCACTTGGCTGCTGACCGCCAGCCACTGGGCGCAGCAGCTAAACACCCCTCCCCAGCTCCAGCCAGCCAGGCCAGGGCCCCGCCCTCAACTCAAGGCGGGGCTTCCTCCCAGGAGAGGAAAGGGGGATGCAGGTCTGCAGCAGGCCCAGCGGGCGGTGATGCAGGTCTGCAGCAGGCCCAGCAGGCGGTGATGCAGGGAGGGGCACTGGCCTCACCAGGGACCCAGCTCCCCACAGAGACCAACAGGGAGAGTCCCCGAGTCTGCATGCAGCTGGTCACCCCACCGCCACACACAGCCTCACCCCTCCCTGGTGGCCCTGCTGCCTATGAGCAGCTGCCAAGGGCCACCAGCCCAGGAAGCCGTAGACAGAGGCCACACAGACAGGAAAACCCCAGCAACCTGGAGACACAGGCACCGGAGGACGAAGCCTTCAGCAGCGTGCTCAATCCCACCTCAGAGGGGAAGGTGGTGTGCCTACAGAACACAGTCAGAGCACCCTGCACAGGGAACACCTAGAGAGAAAGGAAAAGAGCTCTTGGAGATGAAACTCGAGCAGTGAGGGGACCTCCGGAACCTTCAGTTTAGGTTCCTAACTGCCACCAGAGGCCTCCTCGGGCCCAGCAGGCTGTCCAAGGCAGACGGCAGACGGCATGCAGCAGGTGCCAGGCCCCACCTCAAACCGACCATCCCCCTCTGGGCAGCATCACTGCCCCCAAGCCCCGGTGTGGATGAGGACAGAACCCTGCCGTGACCCCTGCCAGGACCTCAGGGAGCACTCAGCGTCCTGAAATGCATTCGCAAAACAGACCGGCAGATCCGGGAGGAACCCGTACGACACTTCCACAGATGCTAAGAAGACGCAGCACACCTTCCATTCCCAAAACACACACGTGTGCTCTCAGCTGGCATCGACAGGCCTCCTCAGCGTGGCTCTGAAACACCAGGCCTGAGGCCAGCATCCTCCCAGGTGGGGAAACGGAGGTGTTCCAGAAAACACAGGGGCAGGACAGAGCACCCATGGTCACACCACACCTCGGCGCACGCCGGGCAGACGCGGGACGGCATGGGGCCCCCCTGTCAGCAGGAGCGTGTGGACCCGCGGGTGGCGTGCGCCCCAACCACAGGCCCCATCCACAGCAGGGGACTATTCGAGGCCAGGAGAGGCACTTGCTGTCAGCACTGTCCATGGCCATGTCCCCTAGTCTGAAGCCCAGTCACGAGCTCTTCAGCACCTGGTGTGCTCAGCACTGACAGCACTCCCAGGGCCCCACCGTCTGGACAGGGGCACAGCAGGGACGCCAAGGCTCAGACAGGAGGGCCAGGGCCAGCCAGCTCCCCCGAGGGGCAGCTCTGTACCATGAGGGGCTCTACTTCAACATGTTTGGAACCAGGGAGCCAAATCACAGGGGGCCACATGGCACCGCCAGCCACAGACACCCCACCAGCCCAAGTCATGGGCAGGGCCAGCCAGGCCACGGAATGGCACCCACAGCTCAGCCAGGTTCTTCCTGCCCCTGCACACACCCACTCGGGCCCCGCACAGGAGAGGGGCGTTACAAGGGCCCCTTCAGCTCGACGTGGGACAGGCCAGCCCACAACGGCCACGCACTGCCCTCAACAGATGGTGAGGGGGCAGCGTCCTCTTCTGCCCTCTGCCCACCGTGCCGGCTCCTCAGGGTCTCTGAGACCCTCCTGTGACGCCCCCTCCGGAGTCAACATAATCCTAGAAAGGTGACAGCAATCACAACAAAATTTGAAAAAATTACAAAACAAGTAGTAGTTTACTTTCAAAACAGGCCCACATCCTTGGAGGGCTGGCTGATTTCCAGGCTCAGGGCGGGGAAGGACCAGCAGAGACTGGAGCACCTCCAGGTGCCAGAGGTCCAGGACCGGTGCAGGAAGTGCTGACAGGGCCCGGGAGCCAAGAGAGGGGGCAGCAAGTGGGTCGTACTCCCCAGGGAAAATGAGACCCACAAATCCACTCAGATGTAAATAACCGAAAAAATAGAGAAGTGGGGGAGGGGAGGCTCTCCCTGTGGGTATGATGCCAACTCAGAAAGGTGGATGGAATGACAGTGTGTTTTTAATCACCACCTGACAAACATCCCATGATGTTTCAGGCAAGATTCATCAATGAAGCTAACACCGGGGGTGGAAGGAGGAGAAGCAGGTATCACACGGCCCCAGAGCATCTGCCGGCAAGACACTCCTTCATCACAAAGGGAGGTGCTGACTGCACAGCAGAGAGGCCTGACGGCACCGAGCAGCCGGGGCGGGCATGGCCAGTCCGGGACAAAGTGGCACTGGGGACACACTGGTCAGCACACAGCAGCCCTCCCACACCCTAGATTCCTGCCTGAAACGGAGACCCTGAATTAGCTGTGAGGAAAGTCAGACAAGCAAGGTGAGCTGCGCAAAGCATCAGCAGCAGTCAGCAGCGGCAGGGCCGTCAAAAAAGACGAGCGCGTAGGCCCCGCCCCGTCCACGACACGGGAGGACAAGGTGGCCAGCACGTCATGGGGTCCTGGGTCTGTGACAGGGCTCAAGGGGACAGTGGCCAAAGCCTGCGTGGGCACTGGGGTCAGACCCAGCACTCATCTCACGTGTCCTGATCTGACCCCGACACTGCTCCATGTCAGGGTGGACGCCGGGGGGGACACGTGGCCCTAAAGAAGCACACAGCCAGGTGGAATGGCCCTCCCATGACCACGGAAGAAGTGCAGGAAAATGCAACAGAACAGCTTAACGCAAACACAAGCTGGCCAGCGGGCAGACAGGTGCCCCGTACCAGGCATGGCAGCTGCGGGAACATGACCGCGTGGAGGGGACCCCTGCCCTCCGAGGGGGTAGGGGCTGGGGCTGCGTGGAAGGAACCGGACCCTCGTGTGCAGCACTGTGATCTCCCTCCCAGAGTAGGGACGCACCACTCGCAGTGACGATCACAGATTCACAACCCCGCGCACCAGCTCCCCGGGGCTGCCACCACAGAGCTCCCAAATCCATTTCCTCCCAGTTCTGAGGCCAAAAGTCAGAAGTCAAGGTGTCAGCAGGATGGTTCCTGGGGCTCCGAGGGGGCACCCCTGTCCCTCCCCAGCTTCCAGCGGGAGCCGTGGCCGGCAGTCCTTGGTGTCCCTTGGTTGTGCCAGCACCCCCATGCCAGCCTCCACCCCCACTGCACACGGCCTTCTCCCTGGGTGTCCTGTCTCTGCATCTCCTCTTATAAGGGCACCAGTGACTGGACTGAGGTCCACCCTAACCCAGTATGACTTTATCTTGATTTTTACATCTCAGCCACATCTGCAAAGACCTTGTTTCCAAATAAGGTCACATTCACAGGTCCCAGGTTCAGGACTTGAGCAGATCCTTCAGGGGAACACAAGGCCAGGCCAGCTCCCCTCACAGGAGATGGAATGACCAGGACGGACGGTCATAACGCACAGCCCATCCCTGCTTGAGACGCAGCGTGATGAGCCCAGGATGGGCAGCTCAGGATAGCGTCCCGGCCCCGGGGTCATGCTGCCAGCTGGTGGCAGGTGCAAAGAAGGACAGGAGCAGGACCCCGTCCCTGGCAGGGCAGCCCCCAGGAGGGGTGCCAATGAAGCCAACACTGGAAGCTGAGGCGATACCAGGAGAGAGGCGCAAAGCCAGGCCTGGGTGCCAAGGGGGATGCAGATGCCAGTCATGAAAAAACTGACCGGCCCTGCTGACCGGGAGGGGAAGGGAGGGGAGGGAAAGGGGCTCTATCCCACAAGCCACTGCATGGACTGAGGAAGGCCAGGCAGCTGGGGCTCCTCACGGTCTCCGGGAGCACAGGTGGCCTCCGACTCCCACCACAGCCCCTGCACAGGAAGCAGTCCTCTGAGATCCAACGCGCACGCACCAGACCACCCCCCGGGCCCCAGGGAACCCTCCTCCTGTGTCAGGTGAACCCACGCCAGAGGAAGCAGGATAAAGGACTCAGCTCCACTTTTCCTGCGATAAGAACTTCAAACACATCATCCTCACCTCCAGGGATGCTGGTCCTTCTCTGCAACCAAGCCAGCCATTCTGTGGCTGACCTCCCCTGGCTCTTCCCCTCCCCTCCACCCCTGTGAGGCTCAAGCCACCTCCGCCATCCCGGGTGGGTGCAGTCGCTAGGCTGTTCCTTCCCGTCCACTCGGCCTCAACAGAAAGCAACCACAGGGTTCCAGCCCCCAGGGGCAACTGGTGGCCGCAGGGCGGAGGCCAGAATCATCACACTGGCCCCCAGGCCCCCAAGGCCTGGCCCTCCTGCTCACCTGGTCCCAACCCACCTCTGCACTCAGCACGCGGGCCACACAGGGTGTCCTCCCGGCCCAGGCATGTCATGCAGGCAGCAGGCGCCCCGCACGCTGCGCGGGGATGAGCCCGAGCACAGGCCAGCCTGGGCCGCGAGGACCTCTGGCTGGCTGCTCTGGCCATGCCCACTCCCTGGACTCCACCCTCCAAAAGGGCACCAAAGTGGGCTTTGTTTTTCTGGTTTTTCATTTCCATTTATTAACAGAGTCAGATGCGGCGTCCGTGAAGCCGTAGGTGAGTGTCCCGGAGCAGCCGTGCAAGCGCCACAAGCGGTGCCGAAACACGGTCTCCTGGCTCTGGGGGCCGTGCTCCCTCTGGGGGCGCAGGCAAGTCTGCTCCAGGCTCTGCCCTGGCTGCTTGCCACTCCCTCGCCTGTGAGGGCGTCCCTCCCCGTGTCTGTGTCCAAAGTCCCCGTTACAGGGACCCCAAGCATTTGGGATCGGGGCCCCCACTCCAGTGTGAATTCAGTTTACCTACCTGCCTCTGCAACAACCCTACTTCCAAGGCCCTGGGGCTTAGGGTTTCAACGTGCGAGTTTTTAGGGGACACAAGTCAAACCACAACAAGGCACATCCCTTCCATTGTGGCAACAATGGCAATGCCGCTGCGCTTCTGTACCACACAGAAGCCCAGCACCCACCCCCTCCCCAGCCCTGCCCTCGGTATCTGTTACGTCCACACTTAGCAGTGCACGTGCACAGCTGTCCTCGATGGTTCCATTTCACACATTACCTACAGACTCTGTGGAGCAGCGTGGCGCAGGTCTCCAAGCCTCCCGCTAAGTCATCACTGACAACACGCTGTCACTGTGAACGGTCCTCCAGCTGAGACACACAGGGGAGGCTGTTTCCCAAGGTGAGTAACTCCCTCCTCCTCCGCGCGGTTTCTGCCCAACACGCTCTTCCCACCAACCCCTCGAAGGAGTTGTAACTCGACAAGCAAGCCTCGTTTGGCCAGAGCCATCGGGACGGCCTGCAGCCCTTACGCTCCTGGACCAGGCACAGGCCAGCCTGGGGAGGGATGCCTCCCCCAGGTCCAAGTGCTGCCAGCAGCTGGGCTGGGCCTCGCCCTCCGCTTGCGGCTCCCGGAGCAGGGGGCCCGGCGGGCGTGTAATGCCTACACCCCTTCTCTCTTCCCTGGATGCCAGCCGGGCTCCCCAAATCTTCCCTCTCCCAGAGATGGGAAGCGTGCAGGGGCCTTGGGCAGGGTCTTCTGAAGGGGGAAACTGAGCCACTGAGGCCTCAGAGATGTGCTGGCTTCATTGATGAGTCCGCCAGCCCCCTTTCCCAGGTCTGTTTCTAGAACAGCCAGCCCTCCCAGGCCTCCACCTCTGCTACTTTCTTGTTGCTGCTGAACTGCTGCCACGACCGGCCCTGGACTTCATCTTCCAATGACGCTTGTTTCTGTACCTCCTGTTTAGCCACCAAGGGCCCTCCGCACCTCTGAACGCCCTGAGCCTCGGCCCGCTCTCCTCTAAGGCTGAACCCACCACAGGGCTCTCCTCCTCACGGCTCTCCCGTCCCAGCCATCCCAGCCCAGCTCCCTCGCTGGTCTCTGCTTTCAGGCCGGAGGTTCCGTGTGCCGATCACCTTGCTCTCCATTCCTGCTAAGAGAGGGATTCTCGAGGCCAAGACCCGCTCGGGACGGCCAGCACTCAGCCCGGCATCTCCACGCGCGGCCACCTGGCCCTTGGGGAGGTGAGCGAGGACCTGCAGTTCAGTGAATCCATGTGGACACAGAGGCTCCAACAGCGGCAGCCTTGGGGCACAGGCAGAGCCACCTCCACACGTAGCCTCTCTCTGCCACCCAAGCCAGACCCCGCCACCGGCTGCGAATCGGACACCGGACTCAAGCCTGAGCTCTGGACAGGCCACTCCAGCTCCTGCTGGCTGGCTTCTGACCCACGAAGTGGGGAGAAACTCTCCAGTACCCGCTTAGCTATTGGGCCAGGGCCCACCCCAGCACACCCAGAAGGCCAAAGCCAGGCGGTTTCAGACATGAAAGCCTCAGGTTCCGGCGGTTTTCATGAAAAAAAGTGTGAAGCCCACCAGCACCTCAAGGTTGAGAACATCCCAAGTTCCAGAAGCGTCGTAGCTAACACAGCGCAACCTCGCAACTAACACAGCGGCACCAACTCCAGCTTCTCTGATTTTTCTTTTTATTTAGTTTTCTCTCAAAGAGCACTTGAACAGAAACTCCTAACCTGGTTGAACATTAGTTATTAACTAGCGATCGCTGGTGCAGGGTTTTTAGCACATGACTGCAGACGCTCTGGCACGCCCCCCATGAGAAGGTGGAGTTTAATTGCCCCTTGACCAGACGCAAAGTGACTTCCAGGTGCCACAAAGGCCTGGTCCTTTTTGGGACACGCCTCGAAGGTGCCATGCTGCAGGCAGCCCCACTGTTCACATCTTCCCAGCCCAGGAACCCAACACAGAGTGAGGATGTCCCAGAGGAGACACCTAGCCCCAGCCCCCATCTGACCAAGCTGCACAAGGCTGCTCCAAATTCCAGGCCCCGAAATCCTGAGCAGTAATAAATGATCATCGTTGTCTGAAGCCACCAATTTTGGAGTTCGTTTGTTACACTGCCATAGTAACCAAAACAGGGATACTTAGCAAAGCAAACGGAGCCAAATGCCCCTTTCTCGCTGTTGGAGTGGGTCACAATCACCAGTCCTGCGTCACAGCAGGCTGGGAAGAAGGGGGGGTGGCCGTGTCCCCAGGATCAACACCAGCCGCACAGGTGAGGTTACTGCAGCCTGCCAAAATTGCCTGACCACTTCCCACTGGTGGCATGCAGGTACGACTCCACTTGAGGGGCTCAGTACCTTCTCTAACAGAACACAGTGGGTGCCGCACTCAGTGATCCCTGGAAAAGCCCAAGGCAGACACAGCCCTGCGCACAGGACCATGGAAGTCTTCTTGAGAAGACTTTGAAACAAGAAAATAAGACAAAAATCACATGTCCTAACTAACCAACATCTTACTAATATTAAAACCCACAACTAGAGGGTTTAGACAACAGGACTATTAATTTAAAAGTGCCCAGAAACCATGTTTGAACCGTTATCTCTGCAAGCCAACAAAGGAGAAGAAACTCACATCTTAAAAAGGAGATTTTCGTCGTCACCTCTCTCCTAGTGCATGCAGACTGCACCCAAAATCTTCCTTCTGAGAAAGGACACAAGGTGGGCTCTGATTGGCTGCACAGAAGACCCAGGGTCGGACCCGGGCTGGCCTGCTCAGAGCTGGGCTCTCCCAGGCCAGTGACCTCACCTCTCTGGAGAAGAACCACCCACCTCATGAGGCTGCAAGGACTCAGACTAAGGAAGATGCAGGAAAGTGCTGGGTCCCTGGCACACACGTTAAATTAGGACCACTTATAACAAATGCTGAAATGACTGTGAAAGTCAATTTTCCTTTGAAAAATATTATGGCAGAAAAAGTCAAAAAGGTTTATATAAAATTTTAATTTGCTTTAAAAAAAAGTTTTTGAGTGTTTCGAATGCACCTGTGAAAAAACACCTGACTGTTCTCCTGGTCCTTTCATCTCCCAGTAAACAAACAGCAGCCTGTTCCCTGTGCACACTGTGCAGATGAGCAGATGTCTCTGTGACTAGGGAAGGTCCTGATGTGCCCACTGACAAAGAAGAGAAAGACAACAACGTTGGCGTCCTCTCCAGTACATGTTTCCAGCAGCTACAAGAACAGTGCTCCCCTTTGCGGCTCCAAATTCAAAGTCAAGAAAATGTCAGGGTCCACCAAAGGGCATGCCCGTTACGGTGGCTCTTGTTCACCCTCCTGAGATCCTTAAAGTGGCACCACAGAGCACACAAGAGGGACTGAGCTCCAGAACAAGGTCTAAGTTCTCTGCACAGTGAGCCACGGGAGGAGGCCAGTTGAAAGAAAAGCCACTGCTTCTAAACAATTGCTGTTTCGATTTCAAGTTGGGGGCAATTTCGAGTTGTCAAAATTGAGACAAACTGTTCCCCTGCTTTCTACCATCAGAGTGCGAGGCTGGGCTTCCCTGTCGGGACCTGCTTTGATGGGGACACACTCAAGAGACAGTGAGGTCACAGCTGAAGAAACAGAATCTATATGTTCAAGTTAAATTCTTGAAATGTTGTGAAACTGAAGCGCAGTCTTGAAGCCAAGTTAATCCACCCTGAAAGCTTTCAATGCTGAGAGATCATCATAAACTCAACTAAGCAATGAGTCAAGTTTGACTTTAAAAAAAATGTATTTTGACATTAGGGAAGTTTAGAGTCCAGCAGAAGCAGCCTAAGATAAAATGCAAACACTTCAGCCAATTTAACATAGACTAACACATTTCAGATCTGCAACTGCACTCAGAGTGAGGGAAAATGAAGTAGAAATAAAGTAAAACACACACTATCCATCTAACGCACCTTTCTCCACCGACAGGAAGTCTTACGACTCAAACCTCTCGTCTATGCAGAGAACGCAGCTTCGGAATCGACTTCCAATCACCTTCCACAGGTTGTTGGGGGGTCCGGCCTCCCCTCGTCGTGTGGGCCCACCTTTGGGGCTTCGTCAGGGCACAGCTTATCACATCAAACTTCCTGTTTCTCGCTGCAAGATGACAAGACACATGAGCCCCAAGAACCGCTGGAGCCGCGCGTCTCGGCACCGGAACGACAACAGCTCGCAAAGGCGACACCCAAAGTCGGTTCAACAAGTGGCAGCGCGCCCGAGGCGCGGCCCCTCGCAGTCAAAGGGTGCGTGGAGTGC